TTCAAACTTCTATCTAAAGGCATATCCGGCAAATGTTTTAGTATCATCCAAAGTCTTTATAACCAATCCGAAGCACGCGTTAAAACTATTGGCGGTTTAACAGAGAGCTTCCCTGTCCAGATTGGTGTCCGTCAAGGCTGCGTGTTGAGTCCAACTTTATTCAACCTCTATATCAGTGACCTTGTTAACGACTTAAATATGGCAGACATTAACGCACCGCTATTACACCACTACAAAAGTAACAAGTTTGCTATATGCCGATGACTTTGTCTTGCTGTCCGAAAGTCAACAAGGCCTGCAAAATGCAATAGACACGCTTGGTAGATACTGCCAAAAGTGGAAACTAACTGTCAACCTAAATAAAACAAAGATTATTATATTTAATAAGAAAGGACACACCTTTTCAAAACTTAGCCTTAAATTATTCTCCAAAGACATAGAAGTAGTTTCGTCTTATTCTTACTTAGGTGTAGTCTTTACAGCTGGATGTAACTTTAACACAGCGATGAAATTACCACAAAAGAAGGCCTTACGGGCGTTGTTCAGTATTAAATGTACTCTAGGAGACACTAGGGCGCCTATATCAGTTTACTGTAAGCTTTTTGATCAGTGTGTTGTCCCTATATTACTGTACGGGGCGGACGTGTGGTGCAACAGCAGATTAAATGATAACTCGCCGCTTGAACAAACACACTTAAAATTCTGTAAACAAATTCTAGGATTAAGAAGAAACGCTAGTAACTATGCCAGTAGAGCTGAACTTGGCCGCTTCCCCCTATGGATTGAAGCGTATTGTAGAATGTACAGTTATTATTATAGATTAGTTAGAAATGTTCCCGTTGAAAGTCTTCAGTATGAAGCTTACATAGTACAAAAAGACCTTGTTAGAAGTAAAGTACCCTGTTGGTTGTTGAACATGAAGACAATTTTAGAGGAGTCCGGCTATGCCTGCCTATATACACATGACTATATTAACAAACCATTCCATCTGCATGAACTAAGACAAAGATTAAAAGATATATTCATCCAGAAATTCAACTCAGCACTACAAGCACAAGGGCAAAGGAAAAATCAAGGCAACAAACTGAGAACATACAAAACATTCAAAGTACTATACGACAGAGAACCATATTTAGACATCCCAAATTTTGAAAACCGCAGAGCCATGTGTAAACTCCGTATTAGCGACCACCCTCTACACATAGAATCTGGCAGGCATAGCCGTACACCGTTACAAGATAGACTGTGTACATTCTGTAACAATTCGTGTATTGAAGATGAATCGCATTTTATGCTTGACTGTAAATTATATGATAACGAACGTAAATCACTGTTCAGTTCAATTAAGCTCGACAAAAAATGTAAAACATTATCAAAGGAAGACACCTTTAAATATATTATATCATGTACAAATATAGACGTCATCAATGAAGTATGTAAGTATATTTCAAAATGTTTCAAAAAGAGAGAAGAAGCCATTAGAACTTAGATCAATACCACTTATATTTATATTTCTTTTTATCTTATTTTAGCATTGTATACCTTAGACCTAATGTTAGCCTTTTATATTACTATTGTTTTAGTAATCTCTAGTACATTGTACATCCATGCATTTATCCCTCCGGGGAATGAACATGCAATAAAGTTTCAATAAAGTATTTATTTCTTAAAGTTTCTTGTTTTTCTTGACTAGAAAGCTTCAGAAACACCATTCTTGTTTTTCTTAGCAACATTTAAGAAAATACAAGAATTAAGTTCTTATCTTTCTTGACAAACACAGATAATAAGGCTATTTACAAAGTTAGTACAATCTGCCTTAGTGGTTCCTTGCCTAAAATTAAAAGATAGTATAAATCAAAACATATTTGGGAGAAAATATGACTTAAGCATAAAATGGATTTAAAATTGTTGCTGTCATTAAATCTTATATCAAAACGTCATGCCCTCTTGCTTAAAACCTTTAAAGTGCAACGACAATAAATGAGTACTAAAACAATGTATTATATTCCTCTAAGCACTGGCACAAGGCTGTGAGGATTAAACTCAGTGTTGGCAGAAGGGTTTGTGTGAGCTGAGGCCATTGCTTTACATATATTCACCTACAAAGATGCATACAAAATGCTAGAACATAATAAGATTGTACTTTTTTTACGCAACATCAAAAATAAGCATTAAAAATTTACATTAATACGTAAAAATTAAAGTCTAATTCTTTTTAGATTTTGATTTTAAACAGCTAAAATCAATCATATGATGCTTCTACGTTTAAAGGTGCTACTCGGCTCTCTCATCCTAATGTGTTGACAAAATGATGTTGATTACACTTAATCGTACAGTGCAATCGTCATAAAAAAACAAGAGCCTTAGTACATTGTAAAGGGTCTCCTTGTAATAAGGCATAAGTCATCACGTCCAGTTAACATCATTGCATCTACTCTTACCATATTCGAGAGTTAAAAAATCGTTCCACAGTTATAACAACTGCATGCGAAATACTACACCATAATTGACAAGGCCAAACTATAATGCTGGTAGACATCTATAAACTTGGATTCTACGAAGGTAGGATGAAAAGAAAGATGTAAAATCAACAAACTCCATTAGATGAGAACAGCATTTGCAGCCTATCAAAATAGACTGATTTGATTGATTTCTGGTAAAGTAAATGATGTTTTATTTGTCAAAAAATGGTCCGTCCAAACTATTCAAGAATTATTTCCAGTCAAAATGCAATATCCACAAAAATGCAGAAATTCATAATCAGTGATTGATGCAACAAAATGGGCAATTTGAGCTGGGAATGGACAATTTTTTATTCACTCTATGTTCACCACAATTTTAATCAATATGATACATTTTGACTGCAAACCATGCCACTAGCACTGACGATTTACTCCAAACCAATTCCAATCGATTTCTTACCATTTGACAACCCTTTTGGTCCACCCAAGAATGCTGTAAATTGCAGATTTCGTTAAATGACCAAGCACATTTCCAACATAAGCTTTTGCGAACATCCGTATGTTCTTCATCCCCTTCGATATTTCTTAGTAAACTTTCCTTATTTTAGTTTGTGAAAAAAAAGTCCAAAACACATACAGGCTGGCAGACAAATTAAAAAAGAACACGAAAACAATGTCTTCCTTTTTTGGAGATGAAAATGACAGTATACACCTGGCAAAAGAATCCTATGGCGTTGTCATTCTAATTCTAAATATGTATTTATATGGTGTATTCGTTAAGTTGTACACATGCCACAGGTGATTTGTACAAGGTCATTAAACCTTCGTAAAATCTACCATCAACACCACAATCAATCAGTCTGTATGCCAAAAGATCCCTGTCTATCCAATCAAACGCTTTCTGAAAGTCAATATAAGAAGTAAAAGTCCATTTACCCTCTTGAATTCTTGCCCTTACAACAGTAGAAATAGTATATATATGATCAATACAGGCTCTCGTTTTGCCTAAGCCGTTCTGTTAGATACCTATATATATATATATATATATATATATATATATATATATATATATATATATATATATATATATATATATATATATGTGTGTGTGTGTGTGTGTGTGTGTGTGTGTGTGTGTGTGTGTGTGTGTGTTTGTTTGTGTGTGTAATTCTAATATTCTATTTGTTATAACATAGTTGAATTTTTGATATACATCTTCGTCATAATACCATTTCACTAATGTCCTATGACACTAATATACAGCAAAATACAATAGCAGGAGGTCATAAACTGAGATAACATCTATGGAGTTTGACCACAACACTATGTCCTCTGAAGTGAGACGCGCAAAAACCGAATTGCAACAAGAAGTCGGAAACCTCATACCTACATAAAAAAATTAGAGCCTTTGTAAGATTGCGTACATTACATGTATCAAAGATTATAATGTACAACGATGGTTTGTAAAATTTCGTTATCAATTATGCAAATTTAGTCAATAACATAATTAACATACAATTGTGCACATCTCTGTCTAACTGTATACATATCAAAAATTAAGAAAACTTCCTTCTTCTTTCTTGATTTGTCCACTTTTAAAGATTTCGCTGGACACTCCCCTGCAGTTCAAGAACAAGCTGCTATGGGAATCAAACCCATTACACTTGTTCCTGGCAGAACAAGCTATCTGTTACCAAAAACTTAGGACAGTAGCATGTTCAAAACAAAAGATAC